TCCCAGTACTCACATACTCTTTTGGAGTTATACATTGGACTCACACAGATCTCGAGCAACTCCAAAGGAAAACAAGAACAACACTTACTAAGCATAAAAACATCATCTTAAATCCGCCATAGAAAGATTAACCCTTCCACGTAATCAGGTGAACGTGGCCTGATTGACATAGTTAACCTTCACTACAAACAAATATAGTCACTGCGAGAGTTTTTCTACAGGAAACAAGAAACATCACAGTTATATAAAGCAGTAACTCTAGCAGACTCAAATAACACACCATTAAACTTACACTCACATCGTACAGACTTGACACAACATATTACATCTGGGTGCAAGCTCTTGGCACAGACAGATTATTTACACAGACATAATCAAGTAGCAAATATAATACACCAAGAGTTTGCAAAGAAGCACAAATTATTAGACATCCATGAACCATACTATAAATACATTCCACAGACAGTATTGGAAAACAACACAAATAAACTGTACTACGACAGAGCCATAATCACAGCTAAAACAATTTACCACAACAGACCAGACATCACACTCATTGACAAACACAACAAAATCATATACATTATAGACATAGCCATTCCAAACACTCACAATGTACAAAACACATGAACTGAAAAAATTAGCAAGTACACAGAACTTGCCAAGGAAATAAGGCATCTGTGGAGGATGAATAAGGTGCTTATTGTANCAGTCAGTGTTGCTTTGTGCCAAATTTATTTCAAAGTAGAATATTGTGACTTTTTAAATTTTTTTGATATGCCCAAAATTTTGACCCTAAATATTGACCCTATCACAAATTGCCTTATGACTGCTGAGAAACATTTACTACTTATTAACAAAGTTACATACTGTTTATATATTTTTTCTTAATATAAAATAACTTTTACAGATTTTAATGTGTACTTTATATTAAACTATACATATGAGAATAATCACAAATAATCATTTTTTTTAAAATACTGTTCTAATTATAATTATTTAGTTCGTATAACATAACCATCAAAAATTATTGTGACATTATCACAATGTCAGGCTGCAATTTTTTTCATATTTTTTATTTATTTAATTTAAAATATATGCTCTTGATTTAGTAGTGTCTTGCCCCTGTACATCATACTTTTCTTTATAACAGAGTCATGCCATCTAACTCCATTCTGGAGAAAATTTTTGAATTCAAATCGAATGACTTCCCTTCCATACCGGACGTTTGTATATAGTTAGTCGGGACCTCCTGTCCATATGCTTTCCATGTGTGGTCTCAACTTTCGTCTATCTAACTCTGATCTTGAGATTAAGGAAGAGTAGATGGACAGATGCCAGTGGGAATTTATAGGTCTGCAATTTGAAGATTGCAGCTCAAATACAGGTATTAATCTGGATATCAACCAAATTTAATCTTGTAACTTCCTTAGCAGGTACAGTTCTCTGCCAATTTTTTTTAGAGAAAAGAAAAAGCAGAGAACTGTTTGTGTTATCCTGGCTAAGTTCTCCTTCTATATTCCAAACATAGATGGCAAATGAAAAATATATTATGAATATTCATGTAATATTAATATTAATGACAAATTCATACATATAGAATTGAGTGCATGCATGCATGCTTGTGTATGTTTTTATACAGATTTTTTCTTATATGATTTTGATTTAACACAGTTTGAAAAAGAAATTCAATTTCCTTTTTTACCTGATTTGTTTTGAACTAACACATTTCAATATATCTGCCTTTTTACAAAATTTCCATTTGATTTTAATTCTAAGAAAAAATATTCATACTTCCTTTTCTAGAAAATTGCTCTTTTTCAAAAAAGATCTTAGAATTTTCATTTAAGGCTGTTAAATACATTCAAGTAAATTTTAAGATTTGGCTGGTTTTTTTATAACTTATTTTAACATGCATAGTGATAATGGATGCCATTTGAGTGGCATTTCGTATGAAATGGAGTATGCCATTGCTTTGCTTACTTAGCTTGTCCAATCAGTCTTTCATTCTGACTTTATCCTGTAATTGAAATAGTCAGAAAATATTTAATTTGAAGTTTGACCATTTGTTTGTATGATTGCATTTCTTCNTTAAATTAATACATTTCAATAAATTTGCCTTTTTTAAAAGTTTCCATTCAATTTTAATTGTAAGTAAAACTATTCATACTTTCTTTTCTTTAAAAAAAAATTCTTAGAATTTGAATTTAAGGCTTCTACACATGCTCAAGTAAATTTGAAGATTTGACTGTTTTTTTATGACTTATTTAGACGTGTGTAGTGACAATCAATCTTTCATTCTGACTTTATCCTGTGAGTGAAAGAGTCACAAAAAATTTAATTGAAGTTTGATGATTTGTTTGTACAATTGTACAAACAAATCATCAAACTTCAATTAAATTTTACAATTGTATTTCTTGTAAATTGTATTTCTTCCAATTTCTTTCAATACAGAATATTTTTTGTATGCTGTCTGGTATTAAAGACTAGAAGAGATATTTTGACATTTCATTGAAAAGTAAAATAAAAATAAAATTTATGCAAATAATAAAATGTATTAAATTTTGTTGATAAGTAAGTTACAATTGTTCCTCCTCTGATTTATTAACTAAAATTGAAGTATTTTGTTTAAACACACCCTATTAAATATATTAAATCCATCCTATATTATATTTAAACACATCCTATTATATTAATTGGTTTATTGTACTATTTTTACTGATTTTTAACATCTGAAATCAATCTTTTGTATTTCCACTATAGACAGTATCTTTTTACATGGCTTTTTTAAACACATTTTTCAGGAATATACTTACAATATAAAAATAGAATTGGATATAATTTCAATTAAAAATGAAGACAATTCGGTTTCCTCTGTATTTTTTATATTGAGAATTGGATATATTTGCAGGTTTTAAAAGANTACAGTCACTGCGAGAGTTTTTCTACAGGAAACAAGAAACATCACAGTTATATAAAGCAGTAACTCTAGCAGACTCAAATAACACACCATTAAACTTACACTCACATCGTACAGACTTGACACAACATATTACATCTGGGTGCAAGCTCTTGGCACAGACAGATTATTTACACAGACATAATCAAGTAGCAAATATAATACACCAAGAGTTTGCAAAGAAGCACAAATTATTAGACATCCATGAACCATACTATAAATACATTCCACAGACAGTATTGGAAAACAACACAAATAAACTGTATTACGACAGAGCCATAATCACAGATAAAACAATTTACCACAACAGACCAGACATCACACTCATTGACAAACACAACAAAATCATATACATTATAGACATAGCCATTCCAAACACTCACAATGTACAAAACACATGAACTGAAAAAATTAGCAAGTACACAGAACTTGCCAAGGAAATAAGGCATCTGTGGAGGATGAATAAGGTGCTTATTGTATCTGTTGTTCTTTCCTGTACAGGTGTGATACCACACACACTACACAAAAGCCTGGGAACATTACAATTGAATAGAAATACATACATAACACTACAGAAGGCCACTATACATGCCATATTGTTAGGAAATTCCTGAATACAGTGTGTCACACTGTATTCAGGAATTTCCTAACAATAAATAAATAAGTGTATCACACACTTATTTAATTTTAGTTTTGTTTTGGTTGCCATGCCTTGACTCTGGTCTGGCATAGTACACAGCCATCGGTGTGAACCGAGTATAACCCACTAAACACAATAATAATAATAATAATAATAAGCACAGAGCTCAAACAGTTAGGAGTTGAAAGTTAAAATTTGGTACACAGTTATGGTATGTCATGAGAACGCACACTAAGAAGGGATTTTTTGAAATTTCCCCTCGGGGGAGAAGGACAGGATTAAAGTTTCGACAATGGAAGTGTTAAGTAACAATGGCAGTGTTAACAATGGAAGTGTTAAGAGAAAGCAATGTGCAAGATTTACATACGCAGATGCAGTTTTTTTCATTTTTGCAAGAAATCAAAAATTTTTTAACCCATCTAAAAATTCTCTAATTGGTCTGGAAACAGGGGGACCTAATTCTTGCATTCTTTGAAAGCGGGTAAGATTGAATATAATGTAATAATCTTAATCTTCAGTATCATTATCTTTTGCCCGAGCAACACCGGGCCTATCTGCTAGTTAATATATATTTACCATCATATTCTATCATACTTGGAGCTCTCAAACAAACAGCATGTAGTGATATTCGACATAGAAACAGATTGTTGTTGCTAGTTTGCCATTAGTCAATGCACTAGTAAAATATGTGAGTTTATGAAGCTTTCAGCCAGCTATGTGAGGTCCCATTCCCAGTGTACTCATAATTACTTAATTATATGTATGTGACATATTTTACAATCGTTTTTGATTTCATTTTTTACTGCTTCAGTAATTTATAATTATTATGTTTCTCGTTCAATCTTTTACATTTATTTAGTGATTTGTAAATATATGTTAAATAATTTTTCTTATATACTGTTTACTAAGTTTGTTGATTTTTTTTTATTAATTGTGTTTGTTTCAATTTTAAATACTTATTAAAAATTATCAATTTTCATTATTGTTCATTTTTATTAAATTTATTGCTAGTGCTAACTGTAATTACATATTTTTAAACCTGTTGTTATAGTATTTTTTGTGATTTTTGCTGATTGTTACTATAAATCTGTATAAACAAATAAATAAACCACGCAACAAAATTAGGTATATGTTTGTTGTTTTATACTTATGTAAAAATCCTTATTTTCTACTATTAAGCTAAATAATGCTTTCTTTTTCACTTAGTCCCCCACTTTCTGAGTCCACAAACTGCCACTGATAAACATCTTAGAAAAATAAAAAACAATTAAAAATGTACACTTAAAAATTATAAAAAAATGTAAATATGACCAACCTTTAAATTTTCATTTATGATATCTTTAGATATTATTGATGGCATTGAGGAAAGAATGGTAAATGATGCAATCTCTAATATAGAAAATTTTTCTTCAGATTTCTTCAGTAATTGTAATGGCTTCTGAGAATTAATAATCTAAAATAATAATTAAAAACTAAGTAATACATTTAACTGTATACTAACTAAATAATTTATCCTCATTAAAGAATACACTAATAAAACTTAATTCTGACAACTAGAACTTTTCACTCAGTATATGAAAACTATAAATAATCTAATATTAAATATTCTGTATGAGTATAAATAAAATAATAAATTATTTTCTAGTGATGAAATGCAAAAAAGATAAAGTCATATTACTAAGTCCATATATACACACACACACACACAGGTATCCCTTGCTTAACACTGGATTTAATTAACGAATGAAATTAATTGTGGCAATTCCTTTATAGGCATAGCAGAAGTTTTAATTAACGTGATTTTACCAGATGTTTTTATTTAACATAGGTATCATATTTGATTAATATGATTTTGATATACATGTAGCATCAAGGGATTAATTAACCACATTAATCAAGGGATACTCGTAATTCCATTAGTTCATTTATAATTTTAAAAATAACTAAAAATGAACAAATACAGATAAACATACATACATTCCATTAATAAACAATAACTCAATTCTGTTTTCACGTAATTTTGATTTAATACAGTCTGCAAAAATTAAATTCTCTTTTCACTTGATTAATTTTAAATTAATACATTTCAATAAATTTGCCTTTTTTAAAAGTTTCCATTCAATTTTAATTGTAAGTAAAACTATTCATACTTTCTTTTCTTTAAAAAAAAATTCTTAGAATTTGAATTTAAGGCTTCTACACACGCTCAAGTAAATTTGAAGATTTGACTGTTTTTTTATGACTTATTTAGACGTGTGTAGTGACAATCAATCTTTCATTCTGACTTTATCCTGTGAGTGAAAGAGTCACAAAAAATTTAATTGAAGTTTGATGATTTGTTTGTACAATTGTACAAACAAATCATCAAACTTCAATTAAATTTTTTGTGACTCTTTCACTCACAGGATAAAGTCAGAATGAAAGATTGATTGTCACTACACACGTCTAAATAAGTCATAAAAAAACAGTCAAATCTTCAAATTTACTTGAGCGTGTGTAGAAGCCTTAAATTCAAATTCTAAGAATTTTTTTTTAAAGAAAAGAAAGTATGAATAGTTTTACTTACAATTAAAATTGAATGGAAACTTTTAAAAAAGGCAAATTTATTGAAATGTATTAATTTAAAATTAATCAAGTGAAAAGAGAATTTAATTTTTGCAGACTGTATTAAATCAAAATTACGTGAAAACAGAATTGAGTTATTGTTTATTAATGGAATGTATGTATGTTTATCTGTATTTGTTCATTTTTAGTTATTTTTAAAATTATAAATGAACTAATGGAAATACGAGTATCCCTTGATTAATGTGGTTANAATATTTTTCACTTTATGAATATTTTTATTTATTTTATTTCTATATATATACTTTTTCATCAATCTTAGTATTCTGATAAAAAATGATAAGTTAACTAAAATATATTTAAAATGATGTATTTATTATTAGTTGATAGAATAAATATTTTTGATAATAGTAACAATAATCATAATAAATATGACAAATCAAAGATTATATCATTTACAGAGTGTGCATAAAGTCTTGAACCAATGGGAAACATTTTCTCATTAAGGATTGAGTGATAATCTTGAGTAAGGAAGACTAAATAGAGATAATTTTCCTTTATGGACAAAACAGATAGATGCAAAAAGAAGCCAAATCAATGTGAGACAACCAGAAAAGTCTTCAATAACACACAGGAACAGTGGGAAAACTGCTTCAGAAATTTTGGGAAATAGGATTGGTCTACGATAAACCTTGAAGTGGATGACCATATGTCAGTGAGACGAGAACTGATGTGTTTGCAAAGTTTCATTTGGTTAGTATCAGCATTAGTGTTAACTTGTACTTGTTCATTTTCTCCATTGGTTCCAGATTTTATACACACCCTGTACTATAATTTCAATGAAAATAATAATATATATTCTTTTAAATAGTTTTAAATGATTTAGAAATAAATTTTTTTATAAACTGTTACCTCTTTTATTAATGTTATAGCTTGAATCCATGGAAGTGAATTACGAGGAATAACTGCATCTTTTAAAGATGGCAAATAAAACTTCATCTGATCAGGACATGCTTGAAGTACTTTAATCACAAAATCTGAATATCTTCTATCGGCATATGGTGCATTTAATGAGTTTAATATATTTGTGATAGTATGATTTGGATTTCTGAATAGAAAACATATGTATAAAAATTTTAATACTTTAATTATAATAACTAAAACTTATTATTTTTCTTCCAATTTGTCTATTAAGTGCACTTCATTGTGTGATAAAAATAAAAAAATTTATTAATGTAAAAATCACTCAATAAAGTCAGTAACAAAATTTTTTCTCCTGCAAATGTAGACTCTATCTAGAGTAATATTACAGCATAATATTTTTTTATTATGCTGTAAAAAATTTATATAGCTCAGCAATTGATGTTTGATATTTACACTACTGAAAAGACAAGGTATACATTAGAAACTATCGAAACTACAAGTCATTATTGAATCTTGACAGAAGGAAACACATTTCTAGGACATCATTTGAAAAATGTCTATAGAAGTGAAGAGGTAGACTGGAGTACATGGGATCATGGACTGGACCAAGTATATGTAATTCTAAAAATTAGATAAAGATAATTTTAAAATGCTGCATGCATTGAGTGTCATTTTGTAGCAGTTATTAATATTGTTGTTTGACTTGTAAAGACTGATTAATTAAGAATAATGTATTATATACAACATATTTTTATCAGAATTATAAATCAAAAAAGAAACACAGTAAAAATAATCAAGACATTCAAATGCTTGTTCTAAACAAGTGGCCTTACAACTGACTGCAGAACTCAAAGTAATACATCAGAAGACTGTAGCTTTTTGAATAAGAGGAAAAAAACCATCTTATTGACTGATATTAGATACTAAAGATAAATCCTGGACCCATTATTGAATCCTAGAGAAAGAATGAAGAAAATCCTGCCAAGTAATAGTGCATTTCAACTTTGTACAGCTGACAAAGTTCAAAATAGATTACTCTCAGAGAAAGTTATGATATATTTGGTGAATATTATTTCAGTAAATATTATATCACATGGTATCATAAACAGTTCTGTTGCTTGTATTCCTTTCCTGAAAAAATTAACATCATGATAGATGAAACCATGTATAATAAGGACCATGCACAGCAGGAGGAGACTACTCTATAAATAAAAATATCTTTTGTATAAATTTCATTTTCCAGAATTAAAATATAGCCAAGAAGAAATTTTATTGCAAACTTTATGAATAACTTGTAAAAATAATTACATACTTTATATTAACTTACTTTCCACTATTATTCATAATCCTGTTTGAAAAGATTATTCCATTTTTATGAGAACAACAAACAGATATCATAAATTGATGAGCAGCATCTCTAACAAAGTTTATTTCTTCATCAGAAACTTGCTAAAATTAGATATAATTCATATTAAACACAAATATTGAGAAATCTAAATCTTACTTTATCTTAGTTTAATTTAAAATAAAATTCAGTTTTGATAAGAAAATTTATCAATGATTATTAAACTTATGAAGATTTATTATGATTATTAAACTATAATCATAANCTGTGATTTATATGTAACCATTATGGTAACAATAAACAAATCTAATTTAACTTTGAAGTTAAGACTATTTACAAAAATATATATTTTCGAGTCTATCCATTTATCCTTTAATACAACCACAGAAGCAATAGTTACATTGGAGAAAAAACTTCATTAAAAAACAAATAATAATAGGTAAAAATTCACAAAGTTAAAAAAGATATCAAACATCAGCCTTATATTTGAGGATCTGATGCTTTTACATTAAAACAATATTAAATCTCACTATAACATCAAGTCCTTAGCCAATTTATAACTGCTACAACCAACAGACTGCCGAAAATCTATCGGGCTAGTTTTATGCTAATTATTAAATAAATTACGTAATCAATTTGGTACTAGAGGTAAGCATTAGGCGCCATCTCTTATTAATATTAATAATTATAAATAATTTTAATTAATTTAAATAATTTGGAACCGCTGGGAGAAAAAATCGGCCCGGAGCGGGACTCGAACCCACAACTCCTGCTTACCGTGCAGATGCGTTGCCAGTTACGCTACCCGGACCTCCGATCCGATCTCCTCTTCCAGCGTATATAATCTAACTACTTAACCATCGACGGTTATTACAACGCCGGCTGGGGACACATTCAGTGCCCACGTCCTACTTCCCATACGGCTCTCAACCGGCCATCGCAAGCCCCGGCAAGGCGTAATATATATAC